TGGGTATGGGAAAAGTGCTAAAGAAGACTGTTTATGTTTGCTGCTTGCCTATGTGAACATTTTCAGGGATATTCAAGGGATCACTCATGGCCCTATTGTTAGACAGGATGAGGCAACAGCCTCAATTAGAGGAAGGTAAATTGAATGAAAGAATGAAAGAATGAAAGAATGAAAGAATGAAAGAAAGAAAGAAAGAAAGAAAGAAAGAAAGAAAGAAAGAAAGAAAGAAAGAAAGAAAGAAAGAAAGAAAGAAAGAGCTATGTGGGCCATATAGACAGGCCTATGTCCCTGAGTTAACCTGCTGCATTCGAGGGCTATGGAGGACTGTGTCCATTCACCCCTGCTGAAGCCAGATGAGATGGGATGAAATAAATGAAATGGTGGGAAGATGCCATCTTCTCCTTCACCTTAAGGAACAAAATTCCTTGGTCAACACGATAGGAAATATTTGGAATTTCTGAGCAAAGAGACTTCAGAACTAACCTTTTAGCAGTCAAAACAAGTTGAGTGAGTAAAGGAACATAATCCAGGACAAAAAGCAAAGGATATTCAAAAGGCTTTCTCAATTATGCAGTGAAAGTACTTATTCTCAGTTGGCACACAAACCTTCCTCAACTTGGCAGCCCTAGGAACTGGGGATTTGCTATACACAATTGCTTGTCAACAAGGCTGACTTTTTTTCTTCCTAGTGTTTTTCCCACAGGTGCAAGGCCCGCTTTTTTTCCGATCAACCAAATGTTGATCCATTGGTTGAGACAGGGATTTACTGACCGACTTGTCACCCAAGCCTGATGTTGTGGGCTGAGAGAGTGACTGGCCCAAAGTCACCCAGCCAGCTTTCATGCCTAAGGCAGGACTATAACTCACGGTTTCCAGGTTTCTAGCTTGGAGCCTTAACCACTAGACCATTGTTTCTCAACCTTGGCAGCTTGAAGATGTACGGACTTCAACTCCCACAATTCCCCAGCCAGCCATGCTGACTGGAGAATTCTGGGAGTTGAAGTCCACACATATTCAAGTTGCCAAGGTTGAGAAACGCTATGCTAGACCAAAGGCTGAATGGCAATATTAATATTTCAGCAAACATCGTGTTAAGTCCCTAGCCTCTTCAACAAATGCTGGAAAAGACTCTAGCTTGAAATCTTGGAGGGTTGCAGCCAGATTGTGTCAACAATACTGATGATCTAATGATATGATTTAATATAAGGCAACTTTCTAAGTTCCTCAGCTCCAGCTTTGGAACAGGCAGGCATATCTGAGGTTTTCTTCTTTCTCCTTTCCTGTGGAAGGAGAGAATGGTTTCCATTACTGTTTGTGGGTTCAAGGTCCCTCCCTCCCTCATTGCTAGGAAGATAACTGGTGTCAGTCTTCTCTGTGGGTTGAATAAGAAGGATAGAAAATAGATCTCAAGACCTGTTGTTTCTCCAAAATGCAATTATAGCCATTGGGAGTGTTTTTTCCACATAACATCTCATGAAAAATAGACTATATGTGAAACATTCTGTTGATTCATCCATTAATTATTAGAAACATGTATCTTCCAAATGATTAATTTTTATATCTTGAGCACTAAGAAACATATGAATATATTCAAGTAGCTACAGTTTTTACCTGTTACATCTGAGCCCAATTTCTTAAAAAAATGAATTTAGCATAAAGCTCACATCTATTCAAGATAGATTTGATGGTCCTTTAGTAAGACTTCTGAGAAGATTAGCAGAGATTCTCACAGGAGCTTCACTCAGCCTTAACTGTGTGCTTGTATTCTGGATCAAACGGAAGTGGGATATATTTTTTAACTTTTTAAAATGAAAACATGGACTAATGATAGTTTAAAGGGATGAAAAGTGGAAAATAGTAACACTTGTGGCCAGAACCAAAGGAGTATTATTTGAACAGAAGAGCATGAAATAAATATTTGACTCACAATAGTTCTTGATTTATGATCAAATTTAGAACAATTTTGGAGTTGCTTTCCGGTTAGGGGGTGGGTGGATTATTTTGTTAAAATCTCAGCATGCTGAAGTTTTGACAATGAGCAGATTTAGGCCGACGAAGTACAGGAAGTTCAACAGCTTTGTGTTGACAAGCAGATCACATGAGTTAAGACGGTTTAAAATGGTGTCCATGGGGAAACTTCCAAAGTTTACTTTCTCACATAATTTGTTTAAACTAAAGCATAACTCTTGATCTTGATAGAGGGAGAAAAAAAGTCAACCAAGAGACTGGTGTCGTCCAATTTTTTTTCTTGTAACACTTTGCATCCATGTGCAAAATAAATCCAAGCCACGTACGGCAGATTTGGCAAGAAATCACATATTTACACATTTCTGCTAGTCAAAGTCGCACTTATTAAAATGGTTCTCGGGCAGCAGGTGGAAAAAAAATAAAAGAGAGAAGCTATTTCCTGCCACTTAGGTAGCATGTAAGAGTATGTTTCCAAAAGCTCATAATTTGCAGCAATTCCGTGCTATCGGTGTAAATGTTTCTAATTAAAGTCAGAGTCTAATGTTGGATGGATTAGGGTCCTAAAACAGAGAGCCAAGTTGAAAGTCTGTGTAGGCAAGCAAGTCAGTGAAGAACTGCAGCATTTCTGTCCCATATGAACTTGTTCAAGTGGCCTACAAGGGGTTATTATGTAGATTAATTTTTCTTTTTTCAAGGAAAACAAGGGGATGGTCTCACAGGCAGACTGTTCAATCTGATGTGCCAAAAGAAAAGAGAGTAACAATAAGGTGAAGAAAGAGAAATGGGAAACGAAACAAAAAAATGTATGCTTTGTATTATGGCAATCCAGATTCAGTCAAAAATCCACCACATACGTTTTTCGATCCTGTTCATTAATTTCTCTGATTTAAAACAAAGTCAGAAAGGGAAGAATGAGAAAAAGAGAGAGATAATTTTTTCCCCCCAGAGTTCCAAAATTCTCTGTTGCAAGAAATCTCCTTCATAGCAAATCTGCTTAATTTATAAAGTTGTATCTTGGGAGAGAATTTACATAAATCTTTTCTTGTCTTTCTATTTCTTATTAGTCCTCTTCGTTTTCTTCCCTTTCTTATTTTGTTTCAGCCTTAAGCCATGTTTAGAAAGAGACTTATTTTTTAAAAGCTTAATATATTTTAGTAATAATAGCAACAGACCTAATTTTATCCAATGATTTTGCCTTTTTTTTCTTCTTTTTTTTAAAGTCCCTTAAAAGCTTTTTTTTTTTTTTTTTTTT